TGCTGGCATATTTATAAGGGTGACACAGATGGCACAGACCCTGGCACTGGTTGTACATGAGGTCACCGTAAATCGGCATGGTGTTGGGGTTTATAGTGACAACAGATGGATTTGTGGGAAGACAGCTTTTTAATTATGAGATAGGGAAGGTCTTAACCACAACTCAGAAAATGAAGAAACCATGACAGTGATCTGACATCCTGGAAAAAGTATTTACAAGATGCATCACGAAGAACGACCGATTGATAGCTGCAGAATATAAATCAGTGTTTAAAAATCAGTAAAGAAAAAAGAAACAAGTCAGTGATAAACACAGCAAAGGGTCTTCTTACAAGGAAAGCAGTCCTGCTCTGTGAGCAGCTGCCAGTCCTCGAAAGTCCATCTCCAGATTCCCTGTTATATTTGTTGTTGTTGTTATATGCCGTGGAGTCGGTTCTGACTCATAGCAACCCTGTATAGGGTTTCCGAGGCTGTAAAGCTTTACGGGAGTAGAAAGCCTCCTCTTTCTCCCACGGATCAGCTGGTAGTTTCGAACTGCTGTCCCTTAGGTTCACAGCCTGATTCGTAATCACTATGCTACCATATATAAACCCCTTATCTGGTTATATTGCTGTAGCAACATTTCTATTAAATGTAGCCCAATTCAACCTTGGCACAGACTGCCCATCACCAATAATCATGAGAAGATGCTCAGCCTCCCAATCGGAGGAACATAGATTCAGTCAAAAGGATGGCATTGGTTTACCCATAGTATTGAATGGAAAAAGTGTAAAACATTGATACAATGCAGGGTTCATGTGTATATAGGGAAATGAGTAATTTCATATTCTGTTTTGGAGGTCAAATTATTAAAAAGTTAAAATGTATGCACCTTTTGATGTTTGTTGTTGTTGAGTGCCGTCAAGTCGGTTCCAACCCCTAGTGACCCTGTATAAAGTTTCCGAGGAGGGACTAGTGAGTTTGAACTGCCACGTTTGCAGTTCAAACTTACTTTGCAGTCCAGCACATTAACCCACAGCGCCACACCAGGACTGCTTTTGATGTAGCCATTGCATATTTTCAGATTCCAGTATAGCAAAATCTTGTCCATGTTACTGTATTGAAAAGAGGGAAACAACCCGAGGTGCAGCCACACCAACCCATTGGCATTTAGTCAGTTCTGACTCCGAGTGACCCCGAGGACAGGGCAGAACTGCCCCAGAGGGTTTCCAAGCCTGTCATCTGTGTGGGAGCCAACAGCCTCATCCTTCCTCCGTGAGGCGACTGGTGGATTTGAACTGTTGACCTGCAGTGAGCATTCCAGTGCTTTTCTTACAGTGACGGCAAGAATTCTTCCCATACTGTTTAGTTCTTTTGACAACCGGATTTGTTCTAATTTAGCCAACAGTCCTTATGTGTCTGACTGCCAGGCAATTTTCTCATAAGAAACCCCTTCCCAAAAAATTGTTTTTATCAACTTGCAGATACAAAATTAAGGGAATAAATGAGATAGTAAAATGTAGTTTTATAATATGTACTGTGTTGGTTTAGCTACGTACATGTTGAAAGAACACTAAGAATATATTGATTCCAAAATTTGGCTTGGTTCCATTTCATCACAGTTTTATTCAAGCTCCTTCCCTGTACCTTTTGGCACTTGTGTCTTTTCCATGACTGTTGTTGCTATGTGTTGTTGAGTTGGTTCCAGCTATTAGTGACCCTGCATAGGCTTTCTGGAATCCTGGTGAGGCACTATAGGTTAATGCGCTGGACTGCAAAGTCGGCTTGAACCGCAAGGTTGGCACTTCAAGCTCACCAGATGCTCCTTGGAAACTCTATACAGGGTCGCCTTGAGTCAAAATCCACTCAATGGCACTTAACAACAATAACAGCATAGGGTTTCTAGGAGTCCTGTAGGATCAGCACTGAACTGCAAGGTTCAGAGGTTCAAACTCACCAGCTGCTCCTTGGAAACCCTATGTAGTGTCGCTATGAGGATATGGAGTGAGGGATGTCATTGCTGGTGTCAGATAGATCTTGATTGAAAGCAGAGAATATCAGAAAGATGTTTACCTGTGCTTTATTGACTATGCAAAAGGTTTCGATTGTGTGGATCATGATAAGCTATGGACAACATGGCAAAGTATGAGTATTCCGGAACACTTAATTGTGCTCATGAGGAACCTGTACATGGACCAAGAGGCAGTTGTTCACACAGAACAAGGAAACACTGAATGTTCTAAAGTCAGGAAAGGAGCACGCCAGGACTGTATTCTTTCACCATACTTATTTAATCTGTATGCTGAGCAAATACTCCAAGAAGATGGATTATATGAAGAATGTAACATCAGGATTAAACGAAGACTCATTAACAACCTGCAATATGCAGATGATACAACCTTGTTTGCTGAAATAGAAGAGGACTTACAATACTACTGATGAAGAACAAGGGAACACTGAATGGTTTAAAATCAGGAAAGGTACATGCCAGGGTTGTATTCTTTCACCATACTTATTCAATCTGTATGCTGAGCCAGTAATCCTAGAAGCTGGATTCTATGAAGATGAACATGGCATCAGGATTGGAGGGAAGCTCATTAACAACTTGAGATATGCAGATGATCCAGAACTGCATCTGCATATAACAAGTTTCTGAAAAGTCAGTCAGAGGCCATTCTGTAACCTCAGGCCATGCATTGTATTCATTTGTCTTACAGATCAATGCCCAACACCACCACAACAAAACCACTGAATGTGTTGGTCTTAAATGTGGATGTGTGAGGCCTTAATTCCCTCCCCCTTTTTACCTTATCCTGTCATGTGACTTCTACAAGCCTCCTAAGCTGTCATGACTGAGGTCATTTTAGTCAAGCTACTGTTCAAAACAAAGTCATGGAGGTCAGTGGGTATTATCTGAGTAGACATTGTGAGGGCACAAGTCTTTTCTCCCTTTTTCTAAGGAAGAATTTTTGCTGTGTGTTCAGGTATATACTGTATTTGTTAGAGGAATGATGTAAATGTATATCAAAAAAAATCTTTGAAACTTGTTTCCTTTCCAGAGGAGAATGGTTTGGATAGCTTGGTAAGAGGGATCAGGAGCGCTTTTTGTTGATACTGATATATATATATTTTTTTTTTGGTCTAGGCATGTGCGTCACTTGGTTTATGTCATGTGTTTGACTTGTATAATCTAGGGGAAACAGCCACAATTCGAGTGTGGCAGAGCCAGCCAGGAATTCTAATCCATGGACCATAGCACTGCCTCTGGCCTGCTGTGTGACCTTTAGCAACTCCCTTCCCTCTCTGGGCCTCAGCGACTTCTTACTTGTGACACACAGTGGTTTCTTGAAGCTGTGGAGAGGAGAAGGAGAAGAAGAGAAACCAAATTTATGTCTGAGCATTTCTTTAGTTTTCTGATGAGTTGACTGAGAGCCAGGGAAACCCTGTAGGCAAAATTACCAAGTAGAAGAACCAATACTCAAATCCTTGTCCCCACTGTGCTCAGTGCTTGCCAGACCAGGTTGTCCCCAGCACACTAGAGCAGGGCCATGGGCTCCACCCAACCTGAGAGCGCCATCTGTCATGGTAATTACCCGGTGGCCAAGGTCTACACTCCATCATACTGGTTCTAAGCCAGCTACTGGAGGAAGACGGAGACTCATGGCTAATTTCCTATTCTACCAGTCTGCCAAGGTTTTTTATTAACTCTCATTTTCAGAGTGGAAAAACTGTTCTGGCCAACTTTCTCACAGAATCTTCTGACATCACTGAATACAACCCAACCCAAGGAGTGAGGTGAGCCCTGATAAATCTGGGTCCCCAAGAGTCCCCACCTATCACCTTCCCACTCTGGGGACTGTTGACATCCCCAAAGTATGATGTTTTCTAAGTACCAGCACTGCTCTTGTTTTGTTTTGTGTTCTTTTAGGATCCTGGAATTTGAGAACCCACATGTTAGCAGCAACAACAAAGGCACAGGGTGTGAATTTGAGCTGTGGGATTGTGCCGGTGATCCCAAGTATGTATGTGTACTGTAAAGGGGGTTTGTGTCATCAGCAGATGTGAAAACAAGCTGCCCACCAGGCATCAAGCTCCGGCCTAATTCCTGACACTTACTCGGATGTTCATAAATCCGATGTGAATTATTTTGTGAGCTTTAGTAACTGGGTTGTGATGCAATTCAAAGTCATCAGTCAGTTATTAAAGTCCTCACTTAGAAACCAAATGCCCTAACATTGCTTCTGGCTCCTTTTCTGCCCTGAAGGTTCGAGTCTTGCTGGCCAGCATTGATGAAGGACTCCCATGGCGTGGTGATCATCTTCAATGCCAACACCCCAAGCCACCTGAAGGAGATTGAAATGTGGCATTCCTGCTTTGTCCAGCAGCAGTTGTTACCGGACACTCAGTGTCTCTTGGTTGCACACCACAAGCCAGGCTCTGGAGGTGACAGAGGAAACCTGTGTTTACGTAAGGAGACTGGAATTTCCCCTTCCTACTTATCTTCTGAATGTTTTATGGATTGATACATTTCTAAAGAGCTGTAGAGCAGCTAACTGCAAGGTCAGTGGTTCAAACCCACCAGTAGCTCCTCAGAAACCCTATGCAAGATTGCTATGAGTCAGAACCGACTCAAGGGCACTTAACAACAACAAGGAGCCCTGGTGGCGATGTGGATTAATCAGACCTAATGGTTCAAACCCACCAGCCACGTTGTGGCAGAAGGATGAAGCTGTCTGTCTGCTCCTATCCTCGGACACCCTCGGGTGACTGTGAGCTGGAATTCACTCAATTATAGGTCTTTGTGAAGGCCGGGTGGTGTAAGTGGTTAAACACTGAACAGGTAACTGAAAGGCTGGCGGTTCAAGTCTACCCAGAGGGACCTCCGAGTAAAGGTCTGGTGCTATCCTTATGAAAACCGGCCGTCAGAAATCCTGTGCAGCACAGTTCTACTCTGACAGACAAGCTTGCTGTGAGTCCCAACAGCAGGACATGTGTCTTTGAAGCTAGCCGCTACCCACAGTTCCTGAGCACCTACTGTGTTCTAGGCAGCTGACTTTCTCACCATGTATCAGAGCTGCTAGCATGGAAGACCCGCTGTACACTGCAGGCCAGGCAGACACTGTAAAAGCGGGCAGATGTTCAGAGGGGACAAACGTGGTGTTAGCCACTCATTGGTAGTTAGGGACAAATTTCCCTGACTGACCTTTTCTCAAGAGAAACTTCCAGTTCACAGACGACACACATGACAGTCATAGCAGAATGAACCTGGGGAAACAACTCAGTGAGAAAAGACCCAGACCCAAAAAGAGAGCAGGAGAAACTCTCCCCTCTCCTAACTCAAGAGCAAGGAGCTGAAAGAGCCTTGTAGATGGTTTGTCCTGTCACCTGGTGTGACAGTGTCCGGGAACCTGGCTCTGCTGTGTTGGATCAAGGCAGATGTGAAACTGTAGTTTTGGACATTAGAAAACTGAGCTTATTGGTGCCTAGAAGTCTCAGGTCACTTAGAGCTGGAATGGGCCTCTCATGAAACGCCCGCGCATAATGACCTTATTTGCTTTTTCCAGCATCACCCTTGAACAAGCTGAAGCTGGTGCACTCGAATCTCGAAGATGACCCTGAGGAGATCCGGTTGGAATTCATAAAGTATTTAAAAGGCATAGTCAACTCAGTGTCTGAGAGCAGGGACCGCGAGGAGATGTCCATTATTACCTGAGCAGCCTGAATCCCGGACTCTTCCCCCATCCCAAAGGAAGTCAGCCCTTCCCCAGCTACTCCAGTGTGACTATAGGAAGGGACCAGTCAGCCGGTGAAGCTGATTCATGACATCTTTCATTCCACCCAGAAAACCATATGACTGAATTCTGATTCCCCTGCCCCACGCCTTTTGAAAAATTCCCTTGCCTCATTTCCTTCTCTGGCCTGGAAATTTGTTAGGAGATTTTTCTCCTTCACATATGCCAGTTGTGGAATTTGCAACTTATCAAAGCTGATAATATAGTTTAATCCATGAGTATTGTTTTGAAATGGATTTTTCCATTCCTTGGTTTTCTCAACGAGCACTAACTTGACCACACTTAACAGCAACAACTGTGCGCCAGACCCTGTTCTAGATACTGCTGATGAGCACCATGAACACAGCAGATACGAAATCCTTGCCTTCATGGAGCATCCGTTCTGTTGCTAAGTAACAGTGAGGTAGAGTCAAAACTGAAGATTTAATATTTTATATATGTTTAAAAAATGTATAGATTATTTCTTATAGCTGACCTAAAGTTTACTCACTCCCACCCTCCTACATGATGAAGGAAGAAGTGGTACTTGGCCATGCCCTCCAAGAAAGCTCCCCTTATGTCAGTAAGGGGATAGCGTGAGTAAGGGTGGGCCTTGTACCATGGCCTCCAGGAAGGCTGTGGCTCAGGATGCAGCAGACACAGATCCTGTCTTGTTAATAAAAGTTTGGATTTACACAAAGTAGAAGATAATGACATCCGATCACAGAATGGACAACAACTACACAATACTGGGAATCCTGACTGAACCAAAGAACTAAAGTGACACAGAACATGAACCATCATCACCCCCACTGCCATCAAGTCCGTTCTGACTCATAAACAGAACCAGCCAGGATGACAGTTTGCCTAGCCTCCTGTTTCTGGAACCTAACCAAATGACCAAGTCATATTATGAAGCTGTATTTGACCAAATATGTTGAGAAGGTTGACAGGTAAGGCCAGGCTATTCATGCAATTCTCAATCAAAAGCAGAAGTCATTATCTAGAGGAGCTGTGGAAGGCTGGATTCTCTAGAAAAGGGGTTTCTGAAGCTGCAAATCTTTACAGGAGCAGAAAGCCTCATCTTTCTCATACGGAGCAGCTGGTGGGTTTGGCAGCCCAGTGCTTATCCTACAGTGCCACCAGAACACCATTGCAGGAGTAACTTTCCTAAGTCGTACAAACCCAGTTACCTTTTCATTAGGTGCCAGAAATACTGCCTTTTAAAATATATACACATACTTCATTGTATTTTTTGGTGCAGGTTTACCCAGAAGTTGAGGTTCCCATTTCAGTGATTTCTACACACGTTCAGTAACATTGATTAAAGTCTTCATAATGTATGGGCAGTCTTAGTATTCTGTTCTGGTTGTTCCATTTCCATTCATCTAGTTTCCCTGACCACTTACATTCTCTTCTTTATTTTAAAGTCATTGTCAACCATCTGGTGTCATCAAGGCGATTTTTTTAAAGGAGCACAATGATTTTATTTTTTGACCAATTTGATTTTCTTTGAACCAGTTTGTTATTTAACTACAACGTGGCCTCAGCAGTTAGTTTGGGTTCAGAGTTTGACGAGGATCTTGGGACAATAGTCTCAGGGAGTCCTTCACTCTCAACCAGTCCCGTAGGTCTGGGTTTTTTATTTTGTTCTTGAATTTGAGATTCTGTCCCACATTTTTCTACCAGGGTCCAGGTATTGTGACCCTGATTGAAACAGCCAAGAGCCAGGCAGTAGCCCCTTCAGGTCTTGAGGTAGATGCAGCCGGGGTTCCTGTAGACTGCTTGTCCTGTAGACTAACTCCTTTCTGGAGTCTCATTTCCTTCTTTCTCTCTTGCTCTGGATGAGTAGTGAACAATAGTTGTACCTTGGATGACTGCAAGTTTTTAAGACCCTAGACACTAAGGAATAGTGTTGCTAAATTGTTAAGTACCGAACAATCAGTTTAGAGTCATAGTGACCCTATATAGGATTTCCATGGAGTGGCTGGTGGGTTTGAACCACCAACCTTGCAATTACCAGTCCAGTGTTTATCCCGTGGTGCCATACCAGCACTTCAGACATTAAGGAGCACTGCATTTTTATTGTGTGGTATGGGTCAGAATCGAATCAACGGCACTTAACAACAACAACATTTTTATTGGGAGTCTTGGTGTGGTCCTGTGGGCTAATGTGTCAGACTGGAAAGTCATTTGAACTACAAGGTTGGTGGTTCAAGCTCACTAGCTGCTCCTTGGAAAACCTATACAGAGTTGCTATGGGTCGGAATTGACTTGTTGGCACTTAACAACAACAACATTTTTATTAACCCCTTAAAGTCGTCAGTTACCAACAAAGCTATATCTTTGTTATACCAGTTAAGTATGTCCAAACTAATGAAGAGTTTTCCAAGCCTCAGCTGATGCATTCTCCACAAATGTACTACTCCTTTCTTAGGCAAGAAATTAATGATTGCACATTTTACAAAACAAACCAAAGAAATGAGGGAGGAAACTCTGCTTTTGAATGTTAAGAATACATTACATATTTTTGATGTGACGTCCAAACTACTTTATCTTAAGTAATTCTCTACATTTATGAGATGGGCCATTCTTTCTACCCAAGTTAAAAGCCGGTGGGACTGTTGTATCTGCCAAGTTTTCCCACTTCAAAAAGGGAAGTGTTTGGAGCTTTGATGTGAGCAACACACCATTTCATTTCTCTTTCTGCACTCTGCAGCTCATTCCCCATCTAGGCTTTTTGATAGACGTTCTCCTTTCTCAAAATCCTCCACCCAGATTTATCCCACACGTACAGCTCTTTAGACCAGGTATAATTAGAGATCTTAGGCCTCCAAGGTGCTGTTTAGAATGACAAATAACCCACCTGTTTTACATTTATATTCTTACATGAAGTTTCATGATAAGTGTTTTATATACGAACCATCTTTTTTTGTATGATTTTTAGAACTGAGAAATACTTAGGTGTGCACTAAACTTATAACCATATAATGTAATAAAATATTTTAGTCAGAAGAATAAAGTGTTCACTGTTTTCTGCATAAATGAGGGAACTTGGTTTCTATTGCTAGAAACCTATTCAAGTGCTTTTCAAGCCTGTATCTCTTTTGCAAATCCAACTAGACTTATCATCCTTTTGGAGTGCAGTTTTTTCAAGTAGGAAGTTGTTTTTAAAATCATGACAATAGCTTTAATGTGTCAGTCACAAATAAGATGGAGAACAATGTAAAAGAATGATTATTGTGTTTGATGAGAACAGTAGGAGGTAGTTGTCTAGTAGGTAAAGTCATATATACAGCTGGAAAGCTTGGCCTTGATTCTGTTAGCCATGGAAGAGCCAGCCCTAGGCAGAGCAGGGCCAGATGACTCCGGTGGCTAAATGGAGAACAGACTTAAGGGGAACAAGCCAGAAGGCAGACCAGTCAGGTAAAGGTAGTGTCTGAAATACAGCGCTGAGTGTTGCCGTAGAGACAAAGGTACCGATTGCACACCTATTTGTTGGTGTTACATGCTGTGGAGTCGGTTCCCACTCAGTGGACCCTGTATAGGGTTTCTGAGGAGTGGCTGGTGGGTTTGAACCACCGACCTTGCAGTGCAGAACTTACCCTATAGCACCACACCAGGACTCCACTCATCCACAAGTATTTAGGAGGTAAGTGTGTTTGAGTTGAGGTGGGAGTAGAGAGATTTTATCCCCAACCTTCAGTGTTCCTGGTTTATACAGGTTCTCAAAGTGATGTCAGCTAATCAGTACCCAAACGTACACCCACCCTGTGCCATCTGATTCTGACTCCCAGCCACCTTATAGGGGAGAGCAGAACTGTCCCCATGGAGTTTTCAAGGCTGTAAATCTACAGAGGCTGACTGCTTCATGGTTCTCCAGTGAGCAGCTGCTGGAACTCAACCTCCAACCTTCCAGTTAGAGGCAGGTGGTAATCATGGGACTGGCCAGCTGATACTAGGAGTTCACCTAATCTTCACAGATTGACTTATCTTCAGACATCCTGCATTTATAATAGTGAAAATCTATACAGCTATTTTGTACGTAAACGATAAATACTTGGTGTCAACAAGGCTGGAACAAAGATTGTGCTTTGGCAGGTAGACGACGATTTAACTTGAGAGGTAATGTAATGATGTGTAGTGCCATGGAGTCGGTCCCAACTCATAATGGGGTTTCCGAGGCGGGAGCAGAAAGCCCCGAAGTTACCAGTGGGCGCTACGGGACGAGTAGTGGAGTATGCCCCAGACCCCACTGTCCCCAGGCCCAGTAGATCTAATTTTCCGCAGGCGCAGACCACTAGGCGCCCCAGGGTGCCAATCCCGACCAACTTCCGCTAAGGACACCGGGAATTGTAGTTGGGCTAGAACCGTCCCTAAGGTCCGAGTAGCTACTGCAACTGTTATCTAGAGGCCAGCACCTGACTTGCGCTTTTGCTGGGGACGATTTTCTGGCTTCCGAGGCGGGATCTTCCTGTGTTCTTGTGGCCTCCAGTCCCGGGCTGGACGTCCTGAAGGTCGGACCCCCAGCCAATGGGCAGACGGCTGCCCACAGGGTAGCAGCTGTTTCTCGATCTGCCTTGGGCCTCAGTCTGGCAACTCTCCCTGCCAGTCCCGTCCCATTTAGTTCATGACCAAAGTAACCTGGGACTAGATCTGACTGGCGATTGGCGTGGAACGTGGAATGACAGAGTGCATTGTAGTAGAACCTTGGTCAGTACCGTTACTTTCTGCCCCACTCCATTAGAGGGGGAACTGAGCCCAGAGAAAGTTAAGGAAGTGCACTACTTCGAGGCCGGGCCATGACTGTGCATGACAGAGGCTATTAATGAGATGATAGATCCTGGTTCGGTCCTTCTGACCCTCCACTGTAGGATCCGCACTGGACTGCTAACCACAAGGTTGGTGGTTCAAACCCTATACAGGGTTACTATGAGTCAGA